GTCATTTTTTTTTGATGCCTATGCCGGGCCGGTCCGACAGCTTGCGGCTGAGAGGTTTTGGGCAAGATTGGTTCGAACGGAGGAAAGAAAGCGTTGGGATGATCGCCATGCACTACACCAGAAACCAAACAAAGAAAGCTAAATGGCCGGGTCACTAAATTCCATCGCGCTCTTTCCAGCAATGCCCAGCAAAGCAGATGACGACTTGGCAACTCCTCTGCCACTTGCGGTCTTGCAATGAAGAGGGCTTTAGGTCTTCAGGGATCAGACTTGCTGGGACAAGCTGCAAGGGCCTCCGCGTCAAACAACTGTGTGCCTAGTTGATGCGAAAACCTCCTTCCACGCACAAACAGGAGTGGTGGCCAAAGCGGGCGCCGAACTTGTTAGTCTGGGTGGAACATGCACTAACACAGCGGCAGCAAGATATGGGGGTAGGTAATGTTGGGACAACATACGGGCTATATAAGGATAATGGAAAAGAAAATGGAAACTACTACATCACACTAGAGTATATATAGGGTATATATATATATATAGGGTAATATAAGGACTTTATACAGACCAAAACACTGAATTGCAAAATGCCGGGTCTGAGCTCAAAATCATGAAGCCGCAAGCCTGAACTCTGTAGGGTTTAGGCTTTAGGGTGTAACCCTCAGCACCAACCCTGAAGTAACGTACGTGGTTTCACGCAAGTGCGTCTAGAGCAGGATGACTCAAGTGAAGGCACACCCCAGAATAAACCTGGTAGTCCCCATAACTTCATGTGCAATCCCCTCCCCCCAATAACCCACCCCCGCTCCCGCGGAACAATGAATACACCCCCCGCCCATTATTCGGAAAGTTGGAAATTTACAGTTACCCTTGACCCTCTAATGCAGCTGCGTCATCTGCCAAGTCTGACCTTTAAACCCTAAACACCCGTAAACTCCGAACACCCCTAAACCCTGAACACCCGAAAACCCTAAACACCCCTAAACACTAAACACTCCTAAACCCTAAACTAAACCCTAAATAACCCCGAATGCCTGAACACTCCTAAACCCTATATATAGTATATTATATTATTTAATATGTTATAGTATATAATCATATGTCATAATATATTATTACACTGTGGCACCTGCCAGGTCTGCTGAGACCTTAGCCCGGTGGAGCGCCGCCTGCTGATCTTGAAGCTCGGCCTTCAGAAAGCCGTGTATGTAAAGGGATATATATATATATATACATACATACGGTCCCTTTAAAGGGATTTTAGGATTTAGGTTTTAGGGGTTA